GGAGTTCCCCAGCCTGTAGGTATGGTGCTGGTTCTTCCTCCCCAGGTGCATCACCTTGCACTTGTCAGTGTTGCAACACATATTTCATACTGGTCTCATTCAGCACTATCCATTTTCTGCAGTCTCCATTTTTAGATGAATAGATAACAAAATAAAGCAGGTTAGGTATTCAGCTGGTTTTCCTGTTAAGACAATTTGGAGTATTTTGAGGTAGTTACTAATACAGCAATTACTATTCACATACATTAATTTTAGGAAGACAATTGTTACTTATTGCACTGTACAAACTGAATTTACTGTTAGGTGCCTGCATTTTCCTTAAGAACACAAAATACTGCTTTTCCTATCCTATGCTTGTCCTAACAGATGAAAATTAAAAAACACATAGATGTCCCCAAATAAAGCCAATTTATAAGAAAATCCAACAAATTAGTTAAAATGGACAAACTGAGGGAAAGAATAGTGAAAAGAAAATTAATAAGACACTTACACTCCTAGCAAAAGTGTACGCATCTTAAGGAATAATAAAAGCAGTTTGCAATATCCTCTTACAGCACATAAGATCGTTGTTTTAATACACGGATAAGAAATAATTTACAAAAATAAGGCTTATATCAAAATGATGCTGACCTTTTTCTCTCGAGTAAAAAGGACAAACTCCACTAGTTCCTTAAGAAATTTACTTTAGAGTCAAACGAAATTTTGATTTGGTCACTTTAAATTCTTCCTAGAGCAGGTTTTCCCTTCTTAGAGTGAGTTTTCCCAGTTGTCAGCTCAAACATCCTACACTGACAGACTTACCATTTTCCATGTCTAGAAATTGCATAATGTAGCCAGTCAATGGAAAGCATAAGTACAAACACGGGCTTAATGCCGGTAGGCAACTTCTTCAATTAAAGGTACAGATCAGATTTTAAAAAGCAGCAGCATATTCTCCAGGGACCAATTCCTCCACACCTACCTGACAGCACTTGTCATTTCACTAATCTCCTGTGCAGAGATGCTGGCTGTTGCCACTGTGGTTTTATGATGAAAGGACTGTCTATTCTGCACCTGCTTCAGCATGCTGCTTTTTATCTCCAGCAGTGTCGACATGGCTGTTAGCCTGCAGCAGAGCAAAGCAAAAAGGCAAACTGATAATAAGCCTCGCCACCTCAGCTTATCTACTATAATAAGCCACCTACTGACCTGAAGGGCAGGAAGAAATATTATTTACTTAATATGAATAACAAAAACAATTTTGTTGGAAGCACGTTTAAAAGTTCCATCTTCTAAACTTTCCTTCAGTAGACCTGAATTTATGAAAAAATAATTAGAGAGGCTGAAAATATTTATTAAATATATTTTTATTAAATATTTATTTTGTCAGAGAAGAAAAACTCCAGTTGTATTCAATATACATCACTGTAGCAACTGATCAATGATAGCACTTATTCAGAATGAATTTGGTACTAGAGGAGTCTCTTCTCCACCTGCAGTGATAGCTCTTCAAAATACCTACTGAGCACAAATTGGTTCCGGCCATGCTGCTGTTTCTCTCTATAGACTCCAGCATATTTACCCAAAACTACCTTAAGAAATGAGTATTTATTAGATGTATACATGTACAGCACTGCAAGCAAGCTTGGCACTTTACCAAGGGGCACAATTACAGCTTTTTGAGGTAGGTAGAAAACTATATGCTAGTTTGAAGCCGATGCTATTACAGATGACACTTTTTAGTAGCACTGTACTACAACACATCATTATAACATGGCTCACATTCGCCTACCAAACTGTAGACCAAACTACCTACTATCTTAAATCTAAATGTAGTATGACATTCCTGGGACTCAAAAACAAATAAAGACTTTGACAAAAAGTTAAGTTATTCCTAGGCTTCAGAAAAACTGGACTCAAACCAATTGATCTGGGGAGGATGAATTTTCACCTCTGGGGAGTAAAAATGCAAAAAGGAAGAGGCCAAAGTCAGTCTTAAAAAAAACCCCAATAGACCTGACAGTTTCAGCTTTGCTATTCAAACAAATAAAGGTCTCTTGAGAAAGTAAGATATGCTACAAGGTACTGTAGTTCCCTCAAACATTTTAGAATACTGATCACAAGCAGATTATTTTATAGTGGGTAGCAATTATTAAAGGGAGAACAAGGAATTCCTCTGTAACCTGGTATAGGGACATTAGGTAGAAAGCCAGTTATCCACCAAAAAGAAACAAGAAGTTCACTTTCCCTTCAAATTTTAAACTGCATCAAAATATTTCCCTATACTAATTTTCCCTATACTCTAGGTATTTGTCCGTGTCGTGCTGAATGACACTGGGAAAAAGAGGAAAATCACTTCTACCACTAGGAAGGCAAAACATGTAAGGGTACCTGAATCTGTCAGCTAATATTCCAGGGTATTGTTTGACCAGATACCCTGGGTAGAGAATACAGTATATGAAGGCAAAGCAGGTCACTCTGCTACTTAAACAAGGTATTTTGGTTTAACATCAACTTCACACAAAGCTCCCTCTGGGATTCTCTCATTCCCTTTAAACCTGCATAACTGCTGAACATTTTGGAAGAACTCGGATTTGGGAATCCTTCACAAATTAAGATATGTATATGTTCAGTTTTGTCTTACTTGGTGCATTTTCATGTCATTTATCGTGATTAAATGCATGTGTAGACAGTGACCATCAGATGCAAATTGTGCCCAGTTAACCCAGCCAGCCAAGGGTCAGACACCCAGCTGTTGCCAGCCCCTCCACCACCTGGAACCTAGGGCTGACCCCCAGTGCCTCCTGCTCTGTCCCAGCTCAAATTGCTGCTGTCCCAGGCGCACATGTAGACACTGTGCCCAGAAGCAGTGTACTCTGGCTCAAACAGCTCCCAAGTTTACTGCACTGCCTGTGTAGATGCACCCACTTTGACACAAGCAGCAAGAGGTGTAAACCAAGAAAGGCAACCTACAAACCAAATCATTTGAGAAAATGATTTTTCAGTGAGTGGAAGAATTAAATTCCCTGCTCCATTTAATGGCCATATTTTTCAATAGGAAGAGAACCTAGAAGAATGAGGGAAAAAAAGTACCTGATCAGTAAAGAAAGATATGTTTTAGAATACAGCTGTCCAACTTCAAAGCCCTAGAGGCCACAAATCCCCTCTGTCCCTCACATCCATTTCTTCCTCTGGGCACAGAGGAGGGAGGGGAAGTCTGCAGACTCCTGCTGCTATTATAGCCAGAGGGATGGGGAGACTGGCAGCCAGTGAAAGCTCAAAGGCAGTACAGTAACCCCTCAAAGGCTGCTAGTTGGACACCCTGGTTTTAGAGGTCAAGAAGTGCAAGAATAAAAGTAGAATTACTTGAAGTCAATCTGGGTCAAGATCTTACAAAAAAGATATTTTAAAAAATAGCATTTTTTCAGCCATATAAATAACAAGAGAATAAGAATAGTAGGACCATTATGCAGCAATATGCGGGTAGAGATCATAGAGGGAAAAAGAACTGGAGACAGGAGGTAAATGAAAAATAGAACAAAGTACAGCATGGAAGATAGTGGCAGATAAACCTTATATATTTCTCTGATAAGAGAACTGATTTTTTTTTTTTTTTTTTTT